GCTCTGTAGGGTCTCTATAGGGGCTCTATAGGGTCTGATGGCTGGAGCGCTGCAGGCGAGTCGCCCTGTTATAGCCCCGACCAATGAATAATTCATGGGGAAGTGGTCGGCTGTGGGTGACAGGCTTCCACCATTTCGATCCGCATTATTTAAACCGTAATGGTGGAATCAGCCCCTTCCCCTTCCACATCCATTTCCCCAACCTGCTGCCTGCAGTGTGGGGGAAAGGCTCACTCTGAATGGAGTGTGTAGGGTGTCAGTTGACCCCTCCAGATGTAATTGCAGTGTGGGAGATTCCAGGTCGGGGGGATCAGGAATGGCAGACAAAGAGATCCCCGGAAGGGGGGGGGGGGGTGACAACGACTGTCGGGGGCATTACCTGGGAAAGGTGCCTTCCACAGATGGCTGGGCTGGCTCTGATCCTTGGAGCAGTAGACCTGGCCATCCCAGCCGTTTGGCAGTGCCCAGTGCTGGTAGCCCTCCATAGACAGGAGGGTGTCGTGCCTAGGCTCCGGATGGCTGGTGATCCCGGGCACCACTGACATGTCCAAGTAGCCGGGGACCGCCTGGTAGGAGCTGGCAAAGCTGGGGTAAAAGGCAAACTCCTTGGCCCTGGAGGAGAAGTCTTCGCTGGGGATGGGGTTGCTGGGCTCGGGGTATTTGTCGCTGGGGTGGTAGGAGCAGGGCTTCTGGTGCAAATTGACGTTGTGGGACTGAGACAACCTGCAGCCGTAGTAGCTGCTGCCGAAGGGGTAGGCATAGCCCAGGGAGGCATTAGAGGAAGATGTGGCCCCCGAGCACTGCCTGCCAGCCTCCGGGGAGGTAATATCCGTGTACACAGGTCCTTGGTGGCTTCCGATGGAGCTGGAATGGCGCCCCAGTGCTGGGTGAGAGATAAAATCCCTGCAGTGACTGCTCGCACAGTTCCCACTCAGTCCCTCCATGTCTGCTGGGCTTTTCTTGGGATTCTTTTCATTCGGGCTCGTTTCATACACGTACATCAAGGTGTCCGCCCAGTGAGGATGCAGGATCAGGGAAGTCGTCATAGCATGGTCTGGCCGTGCTTTTTAAAAGTCAGCTTCCCAAAAGCGAGTCACCTAATTCCCTGCCACATTATTGTCTGCCCGGGCGCGCATGCGCACGGCGCCGGCCGGGGCAGGTCTACGGCTCGGCTTCATTAAGAAATCTGCCCGGGCTCGCACGTGACCGCCGCCCCATAGACAACAATGAAGAGGCTCCGAGGCACGTGACCCCTCCCACCAAGACAGGAGAGAAGACCCTTCAAGGAAAAGGGTGACACCCACTCATGGCCACCAAGGAAAATGGACAGACAACACTTGACAGTTTTTTGGTTTCTGGCCGGCTCAGCAACAAATGCTGGAGGGGTAAATGATTATATAGATATAAATGCCCAAAGTCCAGAGGCAATGCGCGAGAAAACAAACAAACAAACAAAAAAACAATATTCTCCATACAGGAAACAGGAGAGTGACAACTTTATCAGGGAACTGAAATGGGGGGAGGTGAATGGGACTAAAACATCTTCTCTGCTAGCTGCTATGTAACTATATACATATATAATACTACTACTACTAATAATAATAATAAAATACCTATCTCATATATATATATATATATATATATATATATATACCTTCTGAAGATTCATCTAAATATCTAGTTGAAGACATATATTGAAATATACATGGGCTCATCAACAGATCGTTTATAAGCTCTTTTTGCAGAATCTATTTTATTTGTAGAAAGGCTTTCATACATGGGTGAAGATCCATTGCAGACTCAAATACGTGCTACATCTATACCCAATCAAACATGGAATTTATACAATTTGAGGAAACATAAGAAGCCATTCAGAAATGTAGAAGAGTGAATTTTGATAATACATATTTAATATATGTTTGATAATGCATATGATACAATCAGTAATAAATGTGATATATGTCTGATAATACATTTGATATATGTTTGATAGTGCATATGATACACTTAGTAATACATTTGATATCTGTTTGATGATGCATATAATACATTCAGTAATTCATCTGATATATGATTAATAATGCATATGATACACTCAGTAATACATTTGATATATGTTTGATAATGCATATGATACATTCAGTAATAAATTTGATATATGTTTGATAATGCATATGATACATTCAGTATACAGATACATGTTTGATAATGCATATGATACTTTCAGTAATACAAGTATATGTTTGATAATGCATATGATACATTCAGTGATACAAGTATATGTTTGATAATGCATATGGTGCATTCAGTAATACATTTGATATATGTTTGATAATACATATGATACAGGTCAGTAATACAGATATATGTTTTAATAATGCATATGGTACATTCAGTAATACATATGATAGATGTTTGATAATGCATATGGTACATTCAGTAATACATATGATAGATGTTTGATAATGCATATGGTACATTCAGTAATACATTTGATATATGTTTGATAATACATATGATACAGTTTAGTGATACAGATATATGTTTAATAATGCATATGGTACATTCAGTAATACATATGATAGATGTTTGATAATGCATATGGTACATTCAGTATTACATATGATATATGTTTGATAATGCATATGGTACATTCAGTAATACATTTGATATATGTTTGATAATACATATGATACAGGTCAGTAATACATTTGATGAAGTAACACTTTCGCTAATACATTTGATATATTAAATAAACACATTTGATAACACATTTGATACAATAGATTTGTCATATTAGGATACATGAGACTACTATCCTGACACACACTTGAGTTATTTGTATAGTAGTATTAACCCTTTACAAATATAAACTCAGGGGAGATTTCAGGACTACAGAATGACCTGGATTTGCATCTATTTAAAGACATGTTTTAAAGACATAAGGCAGTAGAGCCTGGACAGAATTATCCAGTGCCTGTTAAAGGGAAAATAATTAGAGGTCTATTGTTTTTTTCAACCTAGATTCACACATATTTCAGTTTGGATTCAAATGAAAAATGTGTGAGTCCTGTGTGAGAGTTGTGTGAAAACATGTATCAGTAAACCTATCACATAGATGTAGAACTGCCAGCTCCACCATGGATGGGGAATCTGTACATAGACAGCACCAGACAATAATATCCCCTATGTGTCTTTTGCTGCTCCATATTTACAACTATGTGGCCGGCCTGAAAAGTGACATTGTCTTCTCTGGATCTGTACATAAATAACTGTTCATTCTCTAGTCGTGAATTGTTTTTTGTTTTTTTTTTCGTTTTTGATTGGATCGGTTGACAGATGCGATCTGCAGAGTGGATCAGATCAGCTGACACACCTGTTTTTTTTTTATACCCCGGCCAGGAAAATGTGTGATGAATTCCGATGGACATTTGATGACATTTGTCATGTACAATGTTCCCACACAACAGTCTCCATTGAACATCAGCCAGAAAATAGCCGGCTCCTTTTCTTCCAGATTGTGACGGTAAATCACATCGCTCAGGAACGACAGTAAACTTCTTATTGTCCACTGACCTACAAACAAGGTCCTGGGGACTGACAGCTATTTGAAATGCTGAGAAGCCTCAGAAAGCGCCCGGCTGTCAGCCTTTGTCCTGGCATTCCACATTTTTTACTGTTTGGCCTCAAAAAATGTGTGGAAGGCCAAGGTCAAGGTAGAGATGCCAGACAAACCGGGGCTTAATGAGTGTCTAGACAAACAGGCTTGGGTTTGGAGCATCAAGGGTTTGGAGAGCCACTTTAAGCAGCAGCACACCTCTTCCTCTGGATTAACGTGCTTTACCAGCAGAGCATGTTAATCCTTCAATGGAGGATGGATCTAAAAGATGCCTTTTCCAGGGAGGCCTTCCTATTGTCCTCTGGGTTAAAAGGAATACTTAGGAGAATACCAAACTCACTCATAGAAGACCATAGAATATTCTCACTACTTTCATGTGATTATGTATTATTACTACTCAGTGTATGTGGTTTAATTTATGGCTCCAGCTTTGAGCTTTCCATGTGTATAACATTTAGGATATTCCACTCTGTCAACACTGTTCACTAATGGTGTAATTTCATGAACACTGGGTGGAAGTGACACGTTTAGTTAAATAGCTCCATAATAGTCGAGTCTAAATTCTGGGGCTGATTTGTGGTAAATGGATCAAAAGTAGGAACGTTGCCCTCAGCAATAACTCATATTTCATAATTTATAGTGTGGAAACATTGATCATGGCATCTGATTGGCTGTATGGCCCACAGACCCTGTGTGGTTCAGATTCTTTCTCTTCCAGACTTCAATGACAGGGGTTCCTATGAAAGACTGATCAATGTACTGCTCTATGATAAACCCTTTCAGAATACACATATATCAAGAAATGAATTCACATACTTTCTGATTGAAGGTTATCATATCCTACAACGTTGGATATATAGTTCCACATTATATAATATACTGTATATATAATAGAATATAGCATCATTACTGATACTATGATAGGCAGAAAGATTTTAGGTAGATAGAGCAGAATATAAGGATATAAAGAGCTAAACTGTACTAAAACAGAGGTCCACATGGTAGAATAGATGTATAGGATTCTGATGTATACAAGGTTTTACAATAGTCTATTAGTTCTTCCTTTATATACTGTTCCTACCTGCCAGGATACTGTATATACTAGAATATCTTGCATAGCTCAGAATATACTAGGAATTTGGTATATACTAAGCCCTATTTCGGGAATTGGGCTGAATTTTACTATATGAGGCTTTCATAACATTGATATCAGGGCATACTGTGGATTATTCAGTAATACACCTTGCTGGATACTCTACGTACAACGTTTCACAATATAAATGCTTTATGCTAGGATATACTTAAGAGTTCCAAATTACATTGTGCTGGATACTGTAATATATATCAATATTTTGCTGGATACTACAATATATTACTATGCTGAACACTATGGTATACACGACAGTATTCCAGTGTATTTTGTACTGATGTGATGTGATTGCTGGGGTAAAACTGCAGTATGTGACAACATACTGTAAAAAGAGGCTATAATGTGCACTGTTCAATTGTATATTTGCTGGATTTGCTGTGCTGTCCTGGATGGAGTATGTTTATTATTGGGGAATACGTTGTGCTGGATTCTAGGGTATCCAGTACATTCAGCACGTCAAATCAATTTACACATATATTGAAACCTGGGGTTTACTTTCAGCATTCCAAAGATATTGCACTGGCCGGGATATATGATATTCCAGAATGTACTGTGTTGGATTATAGGTAATTTCTGTTTTCAGGATATCATGTGCTAGGTTCTTGTATATACAGTGTAATATTACAGTATATACTACGCTGGACCCTAAAAATAATTCTGTGCAGCTTACAGATACATAATGAGTTGATTTATGGGAAGGAGTAGAGACAGCTCCCTTAGCAAAGTAAATGTTCACGTTGCAAAGTGAATGTCCACTTAGCTTATCCTAATATGTTGAGGTTGAAGTTGAATAAGTTGAGGTTGTGTTTGCTGTAAATACTCAATAAAAAGGGATTTTTTTTGCACATTGGATGAATGAAAATAGTTTAGCTTCACCTCATTCATTAATAAAAGAGAAGATTCACTTTGCTATGTGAGCAGCCCATACTCCTTTAGTAAATGCATTCTGTTGCATTCTAGGTGTACATGACATATTGTGCAGGAGTATAGGGGATACTGTGCTGGGTTAGGTTCTGTGATATGATGCCTGCTATCGAATACGTTTGTTGGATACTTGAATAAACTGTACAGCATCTTAAAATATATTGGGGTTGACCTGCTAAAACTGCTAAAAGAAGTAGACATCAGTTCACTTGGAAAAGTGTATGCTAACTTTGCAAAGCCTATAGGAGAGTAAACATGGTGACACTATGTTCACTTTGAATATCCAATCATGTGTCAGGGAATAAACATACATAAAAAAGCAGGATTTTTCCTGGTATGTGATTGGTTAATTG